TTTTTTTTATATGAATTCATAATTCAATATTTTGTACAAAAATTCTACTCAAACAACATTTCTACAAAAATTACAGTTAAGCCAATCAAACTCATGATGGTAATGTTTTAGACAGATTAATTGTTCTTGCTATTGTCATTAGACCAGCTTAAGCCGTGATATTTTAGCCTTCCAATTATCATAATATGCAGATACATATGACAAAGTGTGTTAACATAACAGGGCAAAGATTTTCCGAATCAAAGGAAGCAAAAGAGTAAAGGGTACAATCCCCATTGCACAATAGAATAACACTAAATCAAATGAATATAAATCATTGCAATTAACATTTGGCTTTTCTTCTCACCGCTCACCAACCTGTGAACCCCTGACCTCAGGGCCATGTAGACACCAGGGCTCTGAGGCAACAGGAGTACCACAAAAAAGAGATCCTTAAAAGATCACATCTAAAACTACTTCTTAAAACCATACACGGTCCTCAAATCTTCCTTTATCATTTTCAGTCAGTTGAAGATCTGCTGGTTCCTTTCTGAAGACAATGGATATATGAATGCAAAAGATGAACTGGATACTGAAACTGAGGATCCTAATTTAGAAAGTACAACAAGAAAACCACCACAAAATTCTTCTGGTTCCAAGGTCTTCTCAGACCACATTTTAATATTCGTCTGCATCATTAGGTTTGGTTGAAATTGAATCTCTTTGTGGCTGATGCTTCTTACCCTTCAGTTTGGGCAAGGCCATGATCCAAGATGGAACTTCACAGCCAGATCCTGCCATCACGTTAGCTACGTTTCGCGAGTAAGGAATATCAACTTCTGAGTAGAAAGTAATAGCTTCTCCACTCCTCCCTGCTCTACCAGACCGACCTATTACAGGGATCCATAAAGGCATAAACTTAGTCTCAGAAACCCAACAAATGAACTTAAACGCAACATGTGCACCAACAAATGGATTGCATCAAGTTTGCAGAAAATCTATAGATGGTAAGGATAGTCTAATAGTTTTTTTTTTTTTTCACTCATATTACAGGACTTCAAAAGCGGGAATTAAGTAGTCACACAATTTCTTAAAAGTTGGTATAAACATTTTCTGTTAAACTCAAACAAATGAGTGAATGACTAAGATTTTGGTCACAGCCAAAAGCAGTTCACATACCAATTCTGTGAATGTATGTAGCAGCAGAATCTCGAAAATCATAATTTATCAGTTATCACACAGTTGACACCTTTGAATTCAATACCACGAGCAATAACATCAGTAGCAATCAAAACCCATGTTTTGCCAGCTCTACCAGCTCTGAATTCATCAACCACATTTTCATGCAGTTTTTAAATACAAGAGATAGGCATAAAGTGAAATACAGTAGCTAAAAATACAAACAAACAATAACGATCATCATATGAAATGTCCAGATGAGAATCATAGGCAGACAATAGAAGCCATGTATCAGAATCCATTTTGCTTTCAACTATCTATTGTAGAGGCTTACTAAAATCTGTTCTGTAGAATGATTTGTAGGTTAGAAAAGGATACAGTCCAGTATAGCCGACATTAATGAAAGTAAGGATAACTGTGATTGCGACAGATCAGAATGGATGACATCCAACTCTAATATCATCAGATTTAAAACATCATCATAAAGCTCCTTCGCCTGTTCCTTACTTTGCACAAGGATTAATACTGGTGGGTTCAGACTCTACTCCCAGCACATAATACAACAAACAAGGAAGACTGTTGAGAAATGCACTAGCTGAAAATACTAAAAGAGCTCATGTTCAACGCTGTTCAAGGCCTGACTGTGGCCTGTTATTATTATGTGAGCACGTTTTCCATTTGCAAATATTGCAAGGCAAACAATGACCATAAAAGCAGTATAACTCCAAGAAGCTTTGATGAAGTGCAAGTAGTTTACCTTCTTCACTTCCAGCAAAAACCAACTTTTGCTTGATTGATTCTGAAGCAGTATTCCTACAAACGTTAACAAATGATAAATATTGAAGGGAATTTCTCTCAGTTTTGGAAAGAAAGTATCTCATACTTACTTCCTGACAACAATAACACAAAAAGCATCAGGCATATTATTGTGCGTGCAAGGTCCTCAAGGAAATCAGGTAAAGTCGAACTAAACAATGAGCATATTATTGAAGTATTAGAACAAGCTTTGACCACGCTATCAATCTGCTTTAACAATCCAAGCTCAAATAGCTTATCAGGTTCATCTGGTACAAGATACTCAACCCTGCAAATCAATGAAACTTGAATCAGGAAGAAATTTGAAGGCAACTTTATATTTGCTTAGCTGGTGATTCTTTCCACTCTAACAACCCCAAATACTAATCTGACATTCTACAGCCTCTTTTGGATGGTTCTCTTCCTGCAGAATATTCTGAGTAGTTTCAAAAATTCAAACATATAAACCTATTTATTGAATCACCCTCTACTTCTGCAATTTGAAATAGGGATATAGCTAGCAGTCAAGAAGTCACCTCTTGGTTGAACTTAGTGAATTTGCCAAGAATTTTCAATGTTGTAATCATTTAAATTTATGCAGTAAATGGCATACTAAAAGATCTAAGTGGATAGCTGCTAGTATAGAAAATCCTTCATACATGCAGATATAAAAGAAAAATAGCCAGAAAAGTTCCATCAATTTAACAGAAACGTAGCTAGAGCCTAGATGTACATTTTTTGTGGAAATACATGGAGTGCACAAGACTCAAGTAGCAACATAAATCCAGAGAAAGATCCAAATCAGAGATGGAAATCATTTTATTAAGAATTTTAATGTTAAGTGTAATGGTTTGCTTGGTCTATGCCCTATACACCATCAGGGGAAGCTTCTGTGCAAGTGTGCATCTTCTGGTTTTCATCATTATCATATTCAGAGCCATTGTGTTAAGATCCTTAAGCTCCAAAACATTAAAGTTCAAATTCTATCTGTTTCTGTGTCACCTTGAACAATCAAATCAATAATCAGTTAGACAATTATTATTACACACCTGCTTAAATCGATTTTTCTTATGTTGATAGCCAAATGTAACCCAGGTGGCATGGATATAAATATATCACAAAGGCAGCTTTGAGAAATCAGCATTTCTTGCTAGCTCTTTAGTCATCAACTTGATATGGACTTTTTTTTCCTTTTGCAAGCTTCTTGTACTCTCTGGTTGTCTGAGCAGCTAACTCACGTGTAGGACACAAAATAACTGCTCTTATGCCAGTGGTTGATGCATGCTGACATGACATATGAAGAATGTTAATCAAAAAAACCCAGGGAAGTGAGGATCAATACCCAGTATAAATGATTAAAAGCTGAAAAAATACCTTAAGTTTCATAAGCATTGGAGACACAAAAGCCAATGTTTTCCCAGATCCAGTAAGAGCACAAGCAAAGCACTCCTGACCCTAACATAATAATAGCATAGCAATTATATTAAACCAAAGCAGCCAAATTCTTGTGTTTTTATTGAGTGTTGTTAAAAGAGAAATCAGAAAAGAAATTGACAACTGCAGAAGAAAGCCACAAGAAGTCCATACAGATAGAAGAACAGGAATAGCCTGCCTTTGCATTGGTGTTGGCTCTTTAAATCCAAGTTTAGCAAAATTGCGTAACAAATAGGATTTACATCCATATCTGTAGAGAAACCATACAAAGTTCATTCTAACTAATTCAATTCAAACAAGCATTCTCTCAAAATTAGAAACTAGAGAAACAACAAAAGACAGCTATCAAGACTATCAAATGAAAGAAATTGCAAATACAACTACTTTTATGCATGGGAAAAGCAAGCACATTGAGCTTAAGTCTGAAAAATCCTTAGGTGGTTAAGGGACATTATTCCCAGAAACATGAATGTTATATTTCTTCTGCAGAATCGCATAGCGTAATCCCATCAAGAATAACCAAAATAACATGGTATAATACAAAAACATACAATAGAAATAACATTATCAAAAACCACAATTCAAAGGCCAAACAAAAACAGCAGAAGATGAACCTCCAATTATCTGTAAAGCTCCTTCTTTTCTTTTGAGAGCTTATCTTCATCCTTTTCATTCTCTTCTTTCACCACAGGTGCTCTTTTTGAACTCTTACAGACACTGAATCCCTCCAACGATTCGATTTTCCCAGAAAGTTAAACAAAATTAGCTTACATGCTTTCATCTTGTGCTAAAAATAAAAAATAAAATAAAAAAAATAAAAAGAAGAAGAAAAATTACCTGAAGCAACTGGCTTTGGCTTTCTCTTCTTGATGGAAACTGACCGTTCCTCCGGTTGGAAGCTTCCATTATGGAACAACGGCAAGTTCTCCACTTTACCATCGGTTTCTTTGTTGTCCTACATGAAAATATGAGCAACAGAATGAATTCATAAGATAATAGATACTGAAATATGAAATAAATAGAAAAGGGAGAAAAAGCATTAGAAATCTCGAGGTTTAGCGGGGCCAAACGGAGAAAAATGGAACCTTGAACCAATCAAAAACACGGGCGAACTTCTTCCTATCGAAGTTGGTGCCGCCGAATAGAAAGTAGCTCCAATTTTCCATTGGCGAAGATGAGTAACTCTTCCGAATCGGAAGCTAAGTAATGCCGGCGGCGGGGTTAGGTTTTAGACTAGTTCTTTCTCAGTCCACCCGCAGAGGCTAGAGGCTACAGGCTAGAGCAATGTGGCTAAAGTGCTAAACCCAATCCGATAATCTAACCGAACCCACCCCATCAAAAAATGGATCACAGCCTTCTGATCCGTGACCGCTGCGGCCGTAATCACTCCTTTCAATTAACTACTGTATTTTTTCTGATGCTTAATTATTTATTCATTGAAAAAAAAAGGAAATGTAAGATTCATTGGTGGAGTTGTCTTAGCCAACTTTTTCTCCTGGGAATTTGGCTGCTTTCAAAGAAATCTTGGTCGTTTTTAGTCGACAAAATTTCGGAAAAACGTTTCGTTTGTTTTCCAATATTGAGTGGCATTGCAGGGTCTTTTAATTGAAAAGTTAGTCGTGAGTCAACAGGTGCAAATGAGTCTCCCCACCTTGCTAACATGTTGGACAAACGGGGGTGGAAGCAATGTGTTTTTGGAATCGGATTGAATTTGTGAGCACACGCCCTCTTTGGGGGAGCCAAATAAAGAGCTTTATTCACTCCAAACACGGTAACTTCCATATCCATCGCCAACCACCTGGCTGCTGAAATAGATTAGTGTGTTGTTGTTGCAGTAACAAGAAAGCAAATTTAACAGAAAAGATGCCATTTGGTGACCCACTCCAGTACACTTTATCCTCCTGCCCTCCAGAAATCGAAGTTGGGGTTGCTAGAATCTGCTTAATCACATTTTCAGGGAGAAGCTGTCTCTAAAGGGACGTATTCCATCCACCTTCTGAGGTAATTGCTTGGGAAACAGGAGCATCCATTTGTTACATTTCACTATTATAAACTTATAATCTGCTGTGTAGTATTATAATTATATCATTACTCAAAAAACAACAAAATTGAAAAAAAAGGGTTAAATTCTTTGGAGAACCCAGATCAGAATATGGGTTCTTTGTCGAAGAAGATGCCACCTTGCCCAGCAAAAACCCAGACTCCGATCAAGGTTACTTTTCCTTTTTTGTCCATTTCTTCCTCTGGTGATTCCCCCTATCTCATCTGCATACTTCTCTGATGATTCACAAAACCACCACAACCGAATTCTAAATTTCAATCAAAACCCAAAAATAAATAACAATGATTTTTTAAAAAAAGAAATTACTCAACAAATTAAATTATGCATAGGAAAAGGAACATTTGCTTCGTTAAATTTTTATATAAAATTAATATCTAAAAAATTAAAAAATTAAATTCGAAGAACTCAAGTTGAATGGAGCTAGTAAAAAAAATAAATAACAAAAAACAAGATGATAGAGAGAATTTTATGGAAGTACATTTAATAAAGTAGTAGACAGTTGGCCATAAAAAAATCTTTGAATACAGGAATAATTGTCTTCCAACACCACTAATGGTAAAATTTGATCAAATAAAATTTACATGGCCACTAGTTGTAAGAGTCAGAACACAGCGAAAGAACCTCCTCTCCGCTTCAAGACATTCAAGACATCACGAACGAACGGTCAAGAAAAGTTTAGGAGAACTCTCAAACTAATATCATGTCGTCATCCTAAATACAAGAGATAACAGAAGTTAGTTCAAGCAATAATTTCAAACTTCAAAAGAGCGATTACGAGGGAAATGAGGGAAATCAAATTAATATGACAATCACACAGATCATGATCCATTTGTGTAAATCACAAATCTCAGCTTGTTGAAGCAGCAAATAATCATCTGCTACACACCAAGGGTAAAGGCAAGCAAAAGCACGCCCACGGGGATATCAACTTCAAACCCACCAGTGGTGGAGTCAGTAATTAGAACAGCACAATCAACCTGTGAGGTACCAGTTGAAGGTTTATAATACACTTAATCAAATTAAGTATTATAAATAAATTATAAATTCACATGTTACAAATATGTTCATGTAAAAATTAGGAAAATTCACAAAGATTTCATATGTAAAATCCTTCAAAGTTAACATGCTATGCCTCAATTCTATCTATTAGAGAAGTGATAGCTTCTCTTCCCACTATTTTTCACTGTTTTCCTTGCTGAAAAGTGAGATACCCTATTGACAATTCGATAGGTCTTATACAAAGGGAGTTTATATTTAGACTAAAGTTCTAATAGTATGTTGCATGGAACTCTTTTGGGATCTTAATCTCTTGGCAAATTGAATTCAAATCAATTTAAGATTGTGATCAAAACCAATCAGTAGATAACAATTTCATCCAAGAAATTCCGGACAAAAAATTGTGATATCCTTAAACCACAACATTTGCATAATAGTCCTCCATCAACTAATATTTCATACAAAGTCTAATTAAATTATATTTCTTATAGCACTGTCATCCAAAACTTGTATGTGTGTCTTTTAAATATGTTTAGACAATTAAAACAATTTAAAGAATACATTTTGATAAAACTTTAATTTTCTAAAATTGAGTTCAAAAACATTTTTCTAAATTGACTAGTCAGATTTTTGTCTAATATAAAAGAGACACAAACTTAAATATTCTCTCTTACAATAAGAGTGATGGTTCCTTATTAGATGATTATAAATCTCCATGTACTTATTATATAGTCCAATATGTTTATATATATCCCATTTATTGGGTATCACCGGTTGACAATATCAAAACTAAATAACTTGTACATAAGACTAAATAACATTTTCAAGTCTAAGGATATTCTATAAATAGGGGATAGAATAATCTTTTCTTGATAGTAATTAACGTAAGATTATTCTAAATTAACCCAATTTAATATTTGTCTTAAACAAATACTCACTATGTTATAAAGAGTCTCTACTTTATTGAAATTCACCACCTATCATGTAAGTAGTACAACATGTGACAACCATGTCGAGTATATTATCCCAAGCATGCTCATGGTTGTGAACAATTTTCAGATCACAAAATCATATCTCCTTGTTGATTATCTCCATAATCAATATGGTTTCATCTAATGTATGATCTAAGAACAATTTAATAATAACATAATATTACCCAAAATTTACATGTAAATAATATTGGCTTTCTAGGGCATATATTTCTTTTAGTCTCCTACCTGCACTCAACGCCAATAGTATTTGTCTCTAAGTACCCATTTGTCCCAGACAATCTTTGAGCTGACATCTTAGTTAATGAGTTCTCAAATTTCATTATAGAAGCACCATATCTCTTTTTTTGAAAAACACTATTATAAAGAATAATATTCTTTGTATGTGCTTTGTTAATAACTTAATAGCACAATATTTTATAATATCATATGATTAACTGTTTATTATAGAAACTATCTCTAACTCTATTATATCACTTATAATCGAAATATATTGCTTCTTTAATTGTTGCTTCATAAGCTACAATTTATCATACTCCTCTCTATGGTGTCTCATTAACAACTTCAACTTCACTATATGATACAAAACATATTTTTGTAGATAGACTTTCCACCATCAAGAGTTGATTGGATAATAGGAATAAAACATTTTTTAACTTTTAAATAATCAAGATATTTCAAAAAAGAAAAATAATTATTGTCCAATATTCTCCCATATAAGATTGGACTAACATTTAGTGCTTACAATTTGAGTAAAATAAGCTTAGTTCAACACTGCATTTTGTTGTGGAAGCATGAGAGTTAAACATAACCACTCCTTTACTAATATATATGCTGACAATAATAGTATTCTCATGTGCCATATAAAATTTCGTTTCCAAAATAAAATCAAACACTTGGATTGTTCTGTTATAATGGATGTTCCAATTTTTCAAAGCTTGTCAAGTCAATAGGTGGATCTTTGGAACTTTTATTACTTATGTTCCTCTCCCACTTGGATTCTAAATCCATTAAGTTGATTATGTATCTCTTCCTGAAGAAATATAACATTTTTTATCCTTTTCATAACCGTATTATGTAACAGTAGCCAACAAGATTCTCATCAATTATGTGAATCAATTTTTGACTCAATTGCTTCCAAGGTTATCCATTCTCCCCTTTTGAGAATTATCACATAATTCTCGTTCAAAAGAGTTAGTCTTACTAAAATATATGATCCTATTTTCTTTTGTTGGAACTTGTAATTCATGCACAATAAGAACACTATCTACTTGTTTCCCCTTTTCAGAAATTGATTAGGAGACACAAGTGTTTCCTAAAAGTAATCTTATTACCTATATAGGAATTGATTTCAAAAATCACTCATCAAGGAAAAATTGCATTCTACTTACGAACAAATTTTGTTCACCTTTATAGTGCAAATAACAGCTAATAAGTTTCTTTGGGATAACTTACAATAAGCAATTACTTCTTCCAATTTGGTTATACTTAATTTCTTAAGCAAGTATATAATGGTTACAACTTTTCAAAGTGTCTGACACTTTTTTTTTAAAAAATATATATCCATAACTATTATGGAATTTTGAAGCTGATTTTATTGGAACTCATCAACAAATAATTATCAACAAATTAATGGGTTAGGGTCAACATATCCCAACCCATGATCCGTTGGCAACACGCAAAATTGACCCGAATGGGTCAGAGAGCAGGTTAACCTGTTAAATCCTTTTAGGAAGAAAAAAAAAATATATATATATATATATATATTCTTAAATCTTAACTTTTTTTAAGACTATTTATTACTAATTACTAATCAGCAATTCATTTTTCAAGACACCCTCATCCCTAGTTCCAATATATGTTCACTGCACCTCCAGGTTTCCCACGCCAAAGCCAAACTCTACATCTTCCACCCATGCTTCATCTCCCGCCTCACTTATCTAAATCAATTAACCAGCCATTTGCATTAATGTTTTCTCTCCCTCTACAGATTCATATCCTTTTTCATGGGTTGGGTAAAAGACATGCTTCTTAGATAAAAGATATTTTTAGGTCTTCTTTAGGGAGCTTTTGAAAACCAGTTCATGATAAATAAGTCTTAAACTTCTATAAAAGACTATCTTTAAATACAAAAACAATTTAACTTTTAATAATCAGATAACTAAAGATTTAAAGAACAGATAATCACCGCTGTAGCAAACTAAGGAGCTTAGATTCCAATTTGAAAACACATATGTTAAATATTTTCACAAGTCCTCAGGCAGTCCGTGTATACACTTTTTATACAGCAAACTCTATGATAATAAACTAGATTAAGAATCAGCTCTTAAGTTTGCTTGATGCTCCATTTGGTAAACAAAACATATTCTAATAATGCGAAGTTGTTTTACAAAACACTTCGCTAGGATTTAGCTTTGGGTAGATACAAGTTACCTCAACAAGCCTGAATAGCTTGTTCACTGCTAGAAACCATAGGAAACTCTTAGTCTCCCAAAATTGTTGATCTCTTCACCCGCTAACCTGAAACAGGGTGAACAATAGTTACAATACACCATGAGCGATGTAGCCCAATAAGCATAGGTTACAACTTAAGAGCCATAACTGAAACCTTAATTTAATTTAATAAGTTCCATCAATTAACTTACATTGTTCTTCCATATAAAACTTATGTCAAGATACAAGAATTAAACATAGACAAATCATCATCTCAAAAATAATCCACATTCTCTAAATTAGAACTATCTAATTTAGAACAGGTAAGTTCAATCCAAGTGCATGCTTACTTGGTCTCCATTCTAGAACAGACCAGAAAATATGTTCCTTTACCTCAGGAAGCAAAGAATCAGTTCCATCAAACACTGCTCTTCCATGCTGAACAGCTTCATCAGTGTCATAAATAAACATGACATAAATACTTTCAATAAACATAAGATAATAGCAAGGCAGCCTTATGGTTGTTCATCATGCAGATTTGTGGTTGTACATCCCACCATACCAATGTTTAGAAGATTGAGTTACGCTTGTTGGAGAATATCAACTGTAGGGATATTTATATCAAAGACGTGGCAATTAACATAGAGGCCAAATTTGAGAAGCACTGGAATTCTTATAGCCTTGTTCTTGCTTTTGCCATAATTCTGGATCCTCATTACAAGTTATCTTTTGTGACATATTGTTACAAGGAGCTAAATGAAGAAACATACACTGTCATAGTGATTATCTGGCACCATGTCATTTGCCATGTAAACACTACATGGCCAGAATAAAAGAGGGAAAACTCCTGCCTCTTTAATTTTCATGTAAAAAATTTAATTATTTTCCCTCCTTTTATTTTGGCCTTATGGTGTTTACGTGGCTGATGACGTGGTGCCACATGAGCGCTAACAAGGATTTCTGTCATGTTAATTAACGGTAATGGCTTGGGGTAGACTAACTTGATATGATTTTGAAAGCTAATAGACTATTTTGGAAGAATATAAACCTTCTAAACAAAATTGGTAAAAAGTGCATAGTTTGTAGACAATTTATTAAATTAAGTGTAAAAGTAACCTTTTTTTTTCTTCCCTCACCATATAAATATAACTAATAGTCTAATAGCATGCAAATCTGTAGGGAAAAAAAAAAATCTATTAATACCTTGATAAAGATGATCAGCATGTAGAGGCCAGGTGGAGGGTGGCCTCCTCATGGATATTGTAATCTGCAAGAGTCTGCCCGTCCTCAAGTTGTTTTCCGGCGAAGAAGAGCAGCTGCTGGTGAGGAGGGATGCTCTCCTTTTTCTGAATCTCCGCCTTCACATTGTCAATTTTGTCGGAGCTCTCGACCTCCAGTGAGATAGTCTTCCCAGTCGCCTTATTGATGACGACAATCTGCATCCCCATGCGATAATTGAATTACATATTCTCAATATTATAAGAACCTTTTAGTTCTCAGTCTCTAGAGAAAAAATGCGGCACCGTTTCATACGAAGCAGTGCCTTCTTTACAAGAAAACACTAATGGTCGCTGATGAACGTCGTCACAGACGGCCGTCGCTCACAGAAATCAATAGGCTAAGCATTTTCGACTATAGATCGATATGAATGATACGTGGTAAATGGTACATGATTTAAAATGTTTGGATATAACTTCTTAGACTTAGTATTTAATCAACTATCCAAAAACTTATAAGTTGCAGTTATAATTATTTACGAGTTGAATTACTTTGCAAAAAATGGAGAATAAATCTGGAGAAAAAAAAAATCTATTGATACCTTAAATATCGGGCTATAACCGCCACGAAGACGGTGCGTCAGGAAGAGGGTGGCCCCCTGATGGATATCATAATCTGCTAGAGTCCTGCTGCCGTCCACAAGTTCTTTCCCCAGAAATATGAGCCGCTGCTGGTCCTGAGGGATGCCCTCCTTTTCCTGAATCATCGCCTTCACATCGTCGACTGTAGTGTCGGAGCTGTCGATCTCCAGCGAGAACCTTGTCCCGTTCAAGGGTATGACAGAGATCTGCATACCACCAAGAAAACGGAAGCGCATGCGGGAAAAAAGGTAAAGCCTGCAATTATTCCCAATATTATAATCCGCAAGAGTGCGGTCGTTCTCAAGCACCTTTCTACCCATCCAAATATCCTGCTGATCAACAGGTATGCTCTCTCTCGCGTGAATCATCCCCTTAACATCGTTAATTGTATCGGATGGCTCGAGGTTGAGACTTATATTCTTACCGGTTAGGGTTTTAATGTGGATCTGAACAGAACCGGTAATTTGGGAGTGCTGGGAGGAGATCAGGTGAACAATTGAATCTTCGTCAATTTTGTAATCCTCAAGAGTGCGGCTGTCTTCAAGCTGTTGTCCGTTGTAGATCAGCCGCTGTTGATTCGGAGTAATGTTTTCGTTTTCTTGAATCTTCGTCTTAACAAGGCCAATCGTATCCGAAGCTTCAACTTCAAGGCCGATCCTTTTGCCTGTTTGGGTAATAATGGAGATCTGTTGGGAAAAAGACCGGGAACTCCCCTCGCCGGTACGGAGACCACTCCCCTCGCCGGTACAGAGAACTTTCCCCTTGTCGGTTCTGATAGCTTGTTCCTGGGAGAGAAGGCTAAGAGTTGACTCATTCTGTATGTTATAATCTGCCAAAGT